TGGGAAACATTTAGGGAGAATAAGAGGGAGAGGGGATATACTTTTGCCACACCTTCAGCCTCTGTCCTTCCACATTAACTGGAAGACTGTCTCATAAACTTCGAAGGGCTAGAGGATTTTAGACTTCCTATTTCCCCATCAGCATCCTACCCACATCCTTGGAACATGTTGTAATGTCTGCATTAGCAGTCAAGGACAGACTCAAGCAAGGTAAAGTAGATTCAGGCTTTACAAATAAAGAGCCCAGAAGAAAAATTATACCTTAAGGAGTCCATCAAAGGGACTTCCAGGAGCTATGAGTCACTCTTCTTTGCTACATGTGCTATGAGTTTGAGCCCACTTTCCCCTGACCTCTGTATGTACCTGTGAAAGAGTGTGTCATAGACTTTTGGGGAGAATATCAACAGTATCTCATTTTTGCTGTAGTAAAATACTACTTTCTAAAAACTAAATAAGCCTGGCTGATTAATTGGCATCTGCTGAGAATCCTCATTGACAGTGCACTTATGAGGTCTCAAAAAATTAGCACTAGAAAACTAACCCTCAACTCCTCAAGGCTAACCCTAGAACTTTTTTAGTGGAGATTGAGGAGCTGTGCCCTGGGGAACCAGACTTCCAGTGTGAATTGGAGTTGGGATAGTAGCTCCAAAGTCTATGCTACATAGAGGAGGAGGAGGAGGGTGAAGATTATGGATAATATTAATATAGTAATGCTATATATAATATAATAATATGTTATTATATTATATATAATAAGAAGAAGAAGAAGACTATGACTCACAAAAGAATGAAAAGCAATTAAGGAGAATATGAGCAAACAGAAAGCTTAGCCTAAGACCCAGATAAACCAAGTTACCCTTGAACCTTATATATTAAACTAGAAGAAGAAGACTAAATAGATGTAAAAATATAACATATCTGCTATTAGGGGGTGGGAGGGATAGGGGTGTTGACTTATTTCATCAGTAATAATATTAGAATTGCCATATTTGGATCTACCATCATGGGACCTAATGTAGAATCCATAGGATGATAGGTTTAAAACTGGAAGGGTCCTTATAGGTCAGCTAGTCTAGCCCCCTCAATTTACAGATTAAGAAGCTGAGGCCCAGAGATTTTAAGGGGCTCACTCAAGGTCATGCAGGTAGTAAAGTAGCACAAGCTGGGATTTGACATACTATGTAAGGAAGTAATAATAACACTCAAGACAGTAGTCAGAAACTTCTACTTGACCTGACTGCCCCCCTTGACACCTCCCAAAATACTTGTAATGGAGGTAATATAATCTTAAAGGTGCTTAGGGATAAATTTTTAAGATACAAAAAAGTGGGGGACAGAATAAGCATATAATACGTATTATGTGCTAGGCACTTTTCTAAACAGATATTACTCATTTGAACCTCACAACTGCCCTACAAAGTAGGTGCTATTATTATCCCCATGTTACAGAGAGAGAAACTGAGGCAAACAAAGATTAAGTGATTTGCCCCGGATCACACAGCTGGTTAGTGTCTGTGACCAGACTTGAACTGAGATCTTCCTGACTCAAGGCCCAACGACTTATCCACTGTGCCACTAGTCACCTCAAAAAAGTAAAGATTACAAAAGAATGGAAAATATCACAGATGATATTCCTACAAAAACAGGGTGATTTCTAAAACATCAACAACTATTTATTCATGTACTTGTTTTCTCATCTGCATAATTATAGTCTATACATACATAGAATCCTTGATGAAAACATGAGAAAGTAACACCCATACTTTCACAATTTTCTACAGAAAAAGATTTCTACAACTTTGTGATCATACTATTGACTTAGAAGTGCAGAAAATGCAAAATCCTTTGGGGTCTATTGCTTATTGATTTTAATAAAGCATTTACTTTGGCAGAAAAAATGTAGCCTTAAAGACCTTCTTTAAACAGGGTGTATCCCTTGCATACATTAAAATTATATGAGACTCTGGAATAGCTGTAACTGTGGAGATAACTTGTAGACTTTGTTTCCTTGTGAAAGACAAAGAAACATATGTTCACCTAAACTATGTGGTAGTATTGTAGAAAGTGCCTTACTCACAGAGTCTTAATTATTGTATTAATTAAGACAATAAGGATCTTATATTAATTAAAAGATTCTCTAAATGTTTCTATCAAATTACTCTCTTTACTGTAAGTTATAGGAAAAGAATCATATAAATCCTTTTAGACTCTTAATGATTTGTGCTTTTATTTTCCTGCCATAGAAAATATAAAATTCAACTGTCTTTGTGATAACTAATTCATACAGAATGTCATATTTATAACAAAGAAAAAATATTCACTTTACAAAAGAATTATTTTTTCTTCAATTCTAAAATGTTGTCCATTTCTTCAATTCTTCAGTTTTTAGTATCTCCAGGACTAAGCATAGTGCCTGGAACATAGTAGGTGCTTAATAGATGTTTATTGACTGATTCAAAAGGATACAGAAGGGAATTCACAGAGAAATTCACACCCACACCCACACCCACACCCACACACACACACACAGAACATTAGAGTAGGACAAGTCCTCGGAGAGCATCTAGTTCTCCTTTATTTTACAGATGGAAAAAATAAATGCCATCTCAAACAGGCAAAAAGTGACTTGCCCAAGGTTTCTGCAAGCAAAGTAGGGACCAGAACCCAGTTCTCCCGACTTCCAAATCTGACTATCAATCTCCTGACTCCTACTACATTCCTTAGTATATGTAAAATATGATTCAGTTCTCAAAAATGAAACTTGTACACAATTCTTCAAGAACACACCTATCACATAAACTGAGGCTGGGTATATTTGGTTCCATTTTTAAGGTTTGTCTGCTTGGTTTGCCATTGAGCTTTTCCAAAAGACATTTATTGGAATGAAGGTGCAGTAGAATGTTGATTGTTACAAGCTGCTTGCCTTTATCAAGTTTCCTGTGTCACTATTTTGTCCATTACTGCTGCCTCCTCTAGTCCAACCTCATGATAATAAAATGACATCCAACACATCAAAAATGATCATGTCATCATATAACCTGAAGAAAATTATGGAGAAAGGAAGTGATTCTATGTCTTCTTGTGATAGTAAAATAGAAAATAGGACTCATTCTCAAGTTTTCTAGATAGATTTTATATAACTTCTCTCTTAGTTTACTACTTGGGAGGCAGCTAGGTAACCCAGAGGGCAGCTAGGTGGTTCAGTGGATAGAGTGCTTGGCCTGGAATCAGGAAGACTCATCTTCTTAAGTTCAAATCTGGCCTCCGATGAGTATTATCTGATGGTACTTTTTCTTGAACAACTTACAGGACAAAGCTATTTGAGTGAGCACTGTCTCTTCCACATGGGTCACTCTGGGAGGCCATCCACTTATTCTAATGATATCACTATTGCCCAAAAAGCTCTTGAGAGCTCTCCCTTAGGAATCACTACATTCTCTAAAACGGCAGAAAGTTTTCATTCTTTGAGGGTGAATATGACTTTTGGAAACACCCAGAAACCATTCTGAGTCCAGTCTGGTGAATGAGATGAATGCACGAAATGTCAGTTCCATTTGGGGTAGAAAACAAGCCGTTACTATGAAGTACTGAGATTGATTTTTTTTTCTTCATAAGATCAAAGCTCTAGAACTGAAAGGGACCTTAGAGGTCACCTAGTCTAACCTGCTCGTTTTACAGATGACAAAATGGCAGCTCAGAGAGGCTCAGTCACTTGCCCAAGGTGATGGAGGTAATAACCGACAATCCTCAGATTTTCACTTGAAATTCAGAACTCTTTTCCCTGCACTACAATGCCTGTGTCCTGTAAATTCTTCTTAAGGCTTCCTAAGACTCATCAAGGTATTTAATTTATGGTCTCTCTGTACAAAAGACCCGTCTTGTGACTCTAGTCATACTTTGTACAGTTATCAGTTGCACATCATGGGAATTGGGAGAGCAACGTCCCCCCACCCTCCACCCCTAGATCTGGAAAATCTGCATAAAATTTGTTGACCCTCCTCTGGTACCAGAGAAGAAGTCTGATTTTTTTTATTTTTCTTTTATGGGGTGTTTACAGTACCTTATTGTAAAATTGGGTTAAGTATTTGGTCATAGGCTCCGTGTTGTCTTCTGGCCTTGCCATGTCATTTGTGGCTTCCACAAAACTCCCCCCAAATTCCCACTTAATTGTTTATGCCCACCCATGATATATCAAAACCACAAAGGGGACAGTCATAATGTGGAAGGGATGACTGTACATGAAATTTACCATGAGATAGGGGCAAGGCTTACAAATTTCAGAGGCTCCATTTCCTGGCTAGGAAGTATCAGTGCCCAAAAGATGCACCCCCAAATCTCCACCTTTAAAACATAAGTGACTTTTCTAACATACCTGAACCCCATCCAATCCATTTTTCTTACTAGAATATAAACAGTCTGTCTAGTGCATATCCAAGAGCTCGTCTCTTCCTAGTTGACTGTAAAGAAAAAAATAAAAAAGACAGGATTGTTATTTGTATAGTAAACAGCCAAGCTATCATTATATTATCTTTTATTATGAGTTTAACAACCAGTAAATGTTATTGCAAAACATTTGGCACCTCTAAAAATGTACGTAGATGTTTTTATTAAAGTAGTCATACCCTATATTCCAAGCTACCCGTCCAATCGTTCTCCATTTACTGGAAAGTTTCTTTTAGTGGCTTCCAGGGTAGCCCCAGGAATGTTTTCTTTAGTATTTGAGTATCCAAGTGCTGAGTTTCAACAGCAAATGTCTTCCACAGGTGCCATATTTCCTTTTCACCTCTTTTCCTAATAGATCTGTCTTCCTTTACTTAGATAAGTTTCTTCTATTCATTCCTCTATATTGTGGTTTCCCTTTACCCTCCACATTCTCACCTACTCAAGTACTCCACC